GATGACGTTACTTGAAGAAACGAAAGAGCGTTCCATCAGGCCTAGGCCTTGACCGCGCGCTTTACTCATACCAGACGATTGGGGCGATTATATGAAAATCCCTTTATCGCTCCCAATCGCTTGGATCGCCTCTGATTAACTCGGCGGTTGCAAACGATCGCGACGATCGAAACGATCTGGGCGATTATATGAGAACCATACATACATAACTCGTAATAAAGGCATGCACTGAATTGCATTCGGGGAACGAAGTAAGGAGATGACTTCCTGACTATAGAAAATTCACTAATATGAAATTAAACAAGAAAATTTAAACTGAATGAGACCATGTGCCATTTGGCATGAGGTAGATTGGTGAGGAATCAATCAATCAATCGATGAATTTTTTTAGAAAAGTTAAAATGAAGTTGATGTACTTTCTGAAATTATAGGACCAGAGGGCGTGCTTGTGTCATTTTGATTATGCTCTTACAAGTAGTACTCAAGCCTCTATACTGTTAGCTGTGGGATGAAGCTTTAAGCGATCAATTTGCCAAGATGGCTATTAAATTGTTTTGCTAACTGGTCGTCTTTGTAATAGTCTACCTAACGGAGAAATTGGTGGTGCATCACAATGTAAGAACCGTGGACAGAGAAATCGTGGACAGTCAGCAAGCATTTTAAATAACTCTTAAATGTTATAAAGAAACTCAATCCAGGAAGTCTAGAATTTCAGTTTGTGCGTTGATTGGCAAGCGCATTGGTCAGAGTTCAGCAAGACTGAAAAGTATTTCAGATAAATCTTTAGGCATGGAGAATATCTTTTGAAATATCACAATATCTACAACATTTTTGTGGTTGTTTCTATATGCCAAGAATAAAGTATTTGAACTGAAATGATTAAGGCAACGTTTTGTTTTAATTCAATGAGATAATATTCAAGGGATGAATTCATTTCACTGGAATTAAAACAACGTCTACTGCATGTCGAGAACAAAACCGATGAAGACCTCAATAAAGTAAAATCTTTAAGTCCTTTGAAGCAAGACGATTGCAAACTGAAAGGCCCTAATGAGTTAGAACTTACAGCTACAGTACATCATAAGTACTCACCAAGGTTAGCTATTAGCACAGTACAGCCATTAGTTGAGTCTTTATTGTAGTACATAAATATATTCATTATCTACGAAAAAGAAGTCCAGATTCGAAGAATTGTTTATTTAAAATTGATTTTTAGAAACCTGCAATTCCACAAGTTTATTTTAGTTTAGGCTGTATCAAAAAACTGAACAATCAGATGATAAGAGGTGTGCCCATAATTTGTCCTTTCCCGATCTAGTAAAATTTACGCTCTTTTGAAATAAAAAAAGTCATTGAACGTTATGCTTTTGACGGCAAACCGGCTTTGTCTACTGGACGAACTGTTTTGAATTTTATTTTGACTTTAAGCAAGCCAGGGGTTCTACAAAATACTCTCGTGGTTCATGGGGATTTGCTAAACAACACTTATGGTACCCTGCCCATGCAGGTTCTAAAGACCGGCTATGTTTGTTTTCCCTTTTGTCTCAGGTTAACCTAGTTTTGGGTTGCTCATCTCGTTTTTCGGTGTTATGAGCTGCCTATGCTATGTTTGTATTGTTCTTACTCGTATACCCGTGACTGAATCTCTGCAATCATGTAGTGTGAGTCCTAACCAAATAGTTCTTTTTCCTTTTTCAGTCACTACACCGGAAATATAGGTTAAGTCTGCAAACGAGGGAAGTGGACCATCAGGCTAGAGCTTATCCCGGTTTTCGTAGCATGAAACGACTAGGAGTTTTTCTACTCCCCCCTGGATGAGATGCCACTCCATTGCAGGGTTACCCCCAGCATTAAATTCGCCGGTACCCATTTGTTCACCTGGATGGAGAGAAGCACTGCTAGAGTAAATTATCTTGCCCAAGAACACAATGTCCCTGGCTAGGACTCGAACCCGGACCGCTCGATCCCGAGACGAGCGCACTAACCATGAGGCCACCATGCCTCCACCAGACTGAAAATATAGGACATTGAAAATAACAAAAATAACACACTATAGTTTTAGGGCTCTTGAATTAATAATCAAGAGAGATTTTACATGATGATCCAGACACAGAAGTCGACACTTTCTTCAAGAAGAAAAACGGATTTAATACTGCTAAACATAGAAGGCAATAACTATCAGCACAAGCTGTAAAATATTGTAATGTTCTCGAGTTCCTAAAATTAGTGAAGGAAACCAAATGCTGTAAATAGAATACAGATAAACAAAATGCACAATTCTTCGATCGTTGGGTTTTTATAACAGCTCGTTAAACGAAGGACTAACTTTTAACTCATGAACTGCATTTTACATGTCTTTTCTGCAAACATAATGAATAGAAATAGTTTTAGTTCTCTTGACATTCCAATGGGCCATTTCTGAGACAGGTTTATTTTCATGCAAATCAAAGTCATTTTCATATGAAAGGTTTTGCCCAAGGACTCGTTTTGAAACAGAGGCACGTGGTAACTCGGAAATGGCCTATGGAATGTTTTGTCTTTTATAATGATATAAAGGAGCCACGTCACGGTTTGCGCATATTGAAAAGTTTAGCCCCAATTTTTCAAATTCGTCGTTTGTAATCCGTGTTAATCTTCTCCATCCTTAGCCATCCTTGTTCCTTTATGGTTTATCATTATCTCTTTGATATTTTTCAATCTTACTAAACTGTTTTTCTTCAGGATTCCTACTATTTAAAGGTAATTTTGTATGTGGCCAAAACAACTCAAAATACCGTGACTGAGCTCGTATAAGGAGCTCAACAAAACCTTCGAGTATCCAGCCCCACATTGCCCCACTTCAATGTTGCCCTCGAATCTTATGCAAATATCTGTAAACTGGTCTTTTATAAAAGTTTACAAAAAGATAGGAGAGCTCCCTCTCTTTAAAACTTATTAATGTTATAAAGAGAGGATGACGCAGACTGTACCTCGTTATAATTAAGGCCTCAACACACTAGACGATTAGTTGTCGACAGCTAAATGTTATCGACAACTAAAACACGTCGTGTGTGAGGTAACTTGTCGACAACTAAACGCTAAACTTTCAGTTGTCGACAACTAAGCAGTTTCACTTTTCGAAAAGAGAAACTGCTTTAGTTGTTGACAACTAAAGCCATTTTTCCGGTGAGTGGGAATCATTGGTTCAGAGGGCCTCCTCAGACGACTAGACATTTAGTTATTTGTTATCGACAACTAATTGTGTCCGATGCGAACATTCCACACTTTGGAGTGCTAGTTATCGACAACTAAGTCAAGTCAGCGAGAGCTTGGGAACTAACGTTCACTACTCATGCTCAAAACACAATACGCATGCTAAAATGTGTGTCATGTTTCAACGGACACAATTAGTTGTCGACAACTAAATGTCTAGTTTGTGGCATGGAGGCCCAAAGACTTAAAACCTGATTTTAAAAAACTTTCGCGACAACTTTATTTCGGGATTTTCGAAGAGCGATTTTTCATGAAAACTAACTTGCGACGTTGGAAAATTTGATCAAAATTTCCGTTTTTAAGTTCGGCACTTGCTCGATGTTTAAAACAATTGTGAAAAAATCCATGTTAGTAAGGTATGCCATGTTCGGACTGAGTGCGCAAGATTTTCTGCCCCATCAGCCTGTTTTTTTGCTAAATGTTTTTCCTTGACAGTTTGTTAAATAATGTTTTGGAAAAAATTTACCCACTCGATCCTCTAGTTTGTCGGCCAACTATCAGAGGATATTTGATAACAAAGAAACGATAGTCTACATCTGACGCAAAAATATGCTTGAACTGTCCGCGGATATTATCTGTGACAAGAAAGTTTCCTCGAGCTTTGCATAGCTTCGCTCATAGGAAACTGTGAGCTTCGTGGAACAGGCAATGTCCACGGACAAATATTCGGAGGAGGCTATTGTGTTTATTATCCTTCAAATATTTGTGGGATGTCTTGAAAATTTGGGAATACCACTCGGATATCCCGATTTTAGCTGGGGCATGTTCAGTCACGTGACACGTTTAAACTAATTTCGCGCGAGCGAAAATATTTGATGGATTTTAAATATTTACATATTATTGAAGTGTAATAATTGGAAGCGTGTGTTACTTTAAATGCGTTGCCATAATCCTTCGACTCAGTCTTGAGCAGTTAATTTAATTAAGGAGCTCCAATAAGCCGTTTGCCGGGCGTGATGCCTAACTACTGCCCCATTTTGGTTTTGTCTCTTTTAATGATTACTG